AATCATTACACTTCTCCCTATACAGGAGTGATTTCTTTACGGGCTAAATATTTTGTAAACTAGAACACCCTAACATTAATAGAGGGATCCCAAAGAATATACGATCACTGAAAAAACTTTATAACACTAAATTGAGCAATATATAAACTCCTCATTAAAAATACATGTTATGGGTTATTTTGATCATGCATAAACAGACAGCCATACGAAAGTTAATGTATTGACTCCAGCGCATACTATATATGTACATAGTCTTCATCCGTTTGTACATCGTATACGTGGGTGTCAACATGAATATCAGTACGTGACTAGAATTTTCTGACGAAATGTGGGCCCTCTTATGAGAGTGAGTTTTAACTATTTCTGGATAAGTTGAACCTGCAACGTAATAGTTACCTTCTCTATGTGTATGTTTCAAAAATAAACCATCTGTAAGATAAGGGTCTTCCATATTATGCATACACAATTCCTTGTTTTGACCTTAAGCTTCAGTTTGTTTACTTGTTCCCATTTCATTGTTATTAGGCGCAGACACTGGAGTTTCTGACAAAGTTTTGTAGATTCACTGCTAATTAAGATTCTAATTGAGCTGGTTTTAAAGTTTTAGGCTTACTGCTAGTTACCGTTCTAATTGAGCTAGTTTTTAAAGTTTTTAGGCTTACTCCTAGTTTAGATTTGAATTGAGCTGGATTTTTAAGTTTTTAGGCTTACTCCTAGTTTAGATTTGAATTGAGCTGGATTTTAAAGTTGTTAAGCTTTCTGCTAGTTAAGATTTGAATTGAGCTAGTTTTTAAAGTTGTTAGGCTTACTGCTAGTTACGGTTCTAATTGCTGGTTTAAAGTTTTAGGCTTACTGCTAGTTACCGTTCTAATTGAGCTAGTTTTTAAAGTTTTTAGGCTTACTCCTAGTTTAGATTTGAATTGAGCTGGATTTTAAAGTTGTTAGGCTTACTGCTAGTTACGGTTCTTATTGAGCTAGTTTTTAAAGTTGTTAGGCTTACTGCTAGTTAAGATTTGAATTGAGCTAGTTTTTAAAGTTGTTAGGCTTACTGCTAGTTACGGTTCTAATTGAGCTAGTTTTTAAAGTTGTCAGGCTTACTGCTAGTTTAGATTTGAATTGAGCTGGATTTTAAAGTTGTTAGGCTAACTGCTAATTACGGTTCTAATTGAGCTGGTTTTTACATGTGGTATTGAACTACAGAAACATTGTTGGAGAAATAGTTTTTGATAGTTTTCTGGTTGTTGCTTGAAGTTTCGTTTTTATTTGATAAACAGATCTCTGTTCTACCCAATGATATTCCAACAAAACCGCTTGTCTTAACAGTAGTGTCAGCTAAAGAAAATAAGCGACTGCTTCGAGCCCCGATGATCGAGATGTTTATACTGTCAATTTAAAATAACAGTTACGCACCTAATGTGAGCCTAGTTTTAAAAAAGGAGGTCAGAGATCAAGTCTTTAAAACCCCCTCTACTGCGCAACCTTATTATCAGCGGACTGTGTAATAAGTATACTACAACTTGGGGCCTCGTGCATCCTAGGGACAGCACGACCTGACACGACTGACATCACGTACCTAAACGTAGTTTAGTTCACACGGAGAGGCGTAAGAAACGTAACGATGACGTAGCGATATTTGACTGTACGATGTGCATTTCATTACTATTTGTAGTTGTGTAGGAGCTGAAGGCGTGAAGTTAACAAAAAACGGCTGAAATTAATAGCACTTTACTTCTTGCACAGCTTTGATTTATTTGTAAGAACTTGATAACAAAAAATGTGACAAAGTAAAATCGAGTTTCGATACTCGTGGTGGGGAGAGCATAAATAAACCATTGCGTAGCTTTATGCTTTACAGAAAACAAATAAAATTAAGTATATACCCTAAAAACAATTTATAAACTTCTTTATAAAAAAGTACCATGAACGTTATCCAGAAAT